CCTTTACGAACTGGTGTATTTTAAAAATCTCTAATAAAATAATTTTTCATTTGGCTTACCCGGGGCCATACAGGGAGAATATCGGTCCGAACGTGCAGCGCAGAACTTCGGTCGATTTTCTTCCCATACGGCCCTCTTTGGTGACGACAATTTGTTACGCGATCTGGGTTAGCAAATATATAAGTTATGTGAATTACCACGGTTGTCAAGTTTGTGGATTCCAACTTGCCAGGGCCACCATCCTCTTTTAGAGTTGCTGCCACCAACAATTCGCGCCTTGAAATCGACCGGACTTTCGCCACAGGCAGGTCCTTTCACAAAAAAGAGGAACATGCATACGTGAGTACGTCTTAAGGTTTTTTTTTTTTTTTTACCTTCTCGTGGGTTTCAAGAATAATTAAGCCATGCGCTTACCGAAATTGGAATATAAGAGAGATATGCCATCGATTCGATGGTATATGTGATTGAAAACGAAGCTTATCGATGGTATGTTTTTTTTTTATTTTTGTGCCCAATCGGCGAATAGCATCTCCTGAGTGAGTTCTTTTCGTGTGTTCTTACACGACGGCTATTGTCTTGCCATACTTGTCCGGTTCGTTCCCCAAGGTTTTTGAACAAGTGGGGTCAAACCATGCAGTAAGTAATGCAAGGAGAGAGCTTACAGCTGTTTGGGATAAGATGGTATAGGCGTTGTCAAAAACGTGTCAGGATTTTGGGTTTTTTCTTCGACGTCAATCAAACCGTTACCATGACATCCGATCCTTTCTTGTCAAATAAAGGCGGCAATAACGAGCAGAAGCTGCAAAATTTAGTTTTGGGAGCTTTCCGATTCTTTTTCACCTTCCCATTTCTGTTTCTTTTGGAATTGGACGCTCTATAGGAACAATTTTACCCTGGGAATCTGAACTTACCATGTTTGAGAGAGCTAAAACGAGAAAAATTTACATCACTCAACACACCATCAAAGTACAATTCGGCTCCCGATCAACAAGGAGGAAAGCGAAAAAACTTACTGCGCTTTTCAAAAACACGCGAACGCAACGAACCTTGGAACACAGAAGCTCACAATACGGATCGAAATGCACCAATCACCAATAACAAACCATAACCTTTTGAGCCCGTTGAAGTAAACTTCTGTTTCCTAAGAGATCCGCTAAGAATGCGCCGTTTGACGTCGCAGAAAAACCCAAAATCCAAAGCGCCCGTTTTTTTAAATCGCAGGTCGCGTGCTATCCGAAACAGCTGTAGTGAGGTCACTAGTAGTGAGGTCTCTAGGCTGAGATTACTGTTTTTATTGGATTAAACGCCGCGGTGTTTGTTAATTTATTACCCTTACCAAACCAAATGTAAGTTGAAACTGTTTGAACACTAGTTTAAATGTATTTGAATGATTTAAAAACTATTTTTATCTCAATTTGGGTTATGTTTACTATGTTTTGCGAATTACGAATAAAACCAAAATAGTCATAGCAGCTTAAAATGTATTTGAGATCTATTTAAATACTATTCATCGACTAGTTACGTCCAGTTTTTGGCAGACACGTAAGCGTGAGTAGGTATTAACTCGCCGAAAATAATAAAAAAAAGTAACTTATAATTATCATAAAAATTATCCCATTATCCTTTGAGACAATTTTTTTAAAAGCCTTATAACTTTGACAATTTTATACGTAGAAGACTGACAGACCACAGCAAGATAACATTTGCCATAAAATATTATCTTATGTCACATCTAAGGTGATGAAGTCATAATGTTCTGCCAGATAATGTTATTCATGACCAAAAGAGGGCCATGACGTCATGAGTCACGTGATTAAAACGTTTTGAATGTTTTAGTTCGTTTTTTAAGTACTTTTTTGTTTTAAATTGGCAAGTTTTTGTTGTTTTGCTCAACAATTCTTTACGCTGTATTGTCTCCAAGGAATTATTATTCCATTTTTAAAGCAGAGGCAAACAAAAACTGAACCACAAGTTTAAAAGTTGCGTAAATTGACCTATATTGGAAGTTAAAATCGAGAAGGACACCTACTTTTGAGACTTTTGTAAAATCCTTTTTCAACTTAACTGTTTGTTTGCCGAAATAAATGTTCAACTTCTGTTAATAAAGGAGAACTGTCAAAGCTAAACGAATGTATTTGGCGGCCATACTGTTTTTCTTCATTCCGGGGAGAGAGATCACGTAGCAGCTCTTCTAACCCTAAAAGCCAAATGGTTTGCTACCGTAACCTAAAACAATGGAAATAACGATAAACAATGTTCTGTTAATGTTTTCCCTGACCAATTAAAAGACACCTTACGAGCAGGGAGAGAATCATACAATCGTACTGTTCCGTCGGTAACCGCGCGATCGATAGTTTCTTTCTTAAACGTTCCCCGGCATGGACCAAGCCTGAAAGAGTATTAATGGGTTTATTGTGAGCTTTATGCCTGGCTTCGTTCAGGTAAAGATTTAATTCTACACGGAAACTGTAAAAGTCATCCTTGAAAACTGTCAATCATCGTAGAGAAGGAACAAATACCCCTTTTAAACTTGAATTGTCATCGCTTACTGAGGTGGTTCAGTGGATAGGGGCGGTAAATGACTCGGAGGGTCCGGGTTTGAATCCCCTTGAAGCAAATTTTTCTTAACATTATTTTCCTTTTCTTTTTCTTTTTTCTCTCTTTTTCACCTGTGTGGTGCATATAGCTATTAACATAATGTGGTAAATTGAAAGCAAAGTTTACAAGAATATAAAAATACGGTATATATCATAGCGTATCTACCGGTATTTTTAGTAATACTAGACACTGCTCAATCGTCGATTTTCACATATGCCTAATTTAATTCGAGAGGTAACTGCTTTCAGATGGGACGTCTGAATCAACTAAATTTGACAGTTTCAAATTCAATACGGCTTTGTCGAATCTGCCACTGAAACAGTCGAAAATTCGACTTTGGTTCAACATTTGATTTAGAAGTCGCATTTCACATGTGCCGAATATATAATGCATTAATTATAGAAACCTTTATCCATATAGAGCGTATTCACATGACGTCACGGCAGCCATATTGGTGTTCCAAAACAATGAAACGGCGGTCATGTTGGTGTACCAAGACAAACCTGTGGGAATTGAACTCTTTTGTTATCTAAAAACTTTCTTTTGTTCGTCTAAATTAGCATAGATGCATGCCACGTGAGTGAATACGCTCTATTGGATAAAAATTTTTTTCTAGAGACTGGGAATATTTACAACAAACGGAGTTAAATTAGGCATCATCATATCCGACGCCTTAAGCAATTGCCGTATATAATTACTTTCATCGACTAATATAGGTGTTCGGCACTTATAAACTGAAAATTCCACGTTTGAAAGGGGTCTAACGGGACTAAGTTTCAGCTTAGTGGTTTGCAGGCTGTTATTAGGTTGTTGTTTCCTTTTCAGTAAGAGCAATTCGTATCTCTCTTTGTAAATCCATTTTGTTAATCGGCTTGTGCCGCGACTTAAGAATCAGCTGTAACAGTTGATTTTACTTTCTCTTTGACTTGATTTGTATGTCACTGGACATGATTTGTATATCAAAAAGAGCGATCTATTTTCATCCATCCCTTTCAATAAAAGCAAATGGAGTAACTTTTCACTATACCGGACAACCTCGAACCGTGACTTCGTCGTATAAATATGCGACAGAAACCTGAAGAATGCACGGTGAAACAGCTCATGAACCGCACCCCAGTATTAAACACAGTGGAAACGGTTGTTTCTGAAATATTGAATCTATGTGCTAAATCCTTTTGAAATAAACCTAAAAGTCTCATAAAAGTCAAAATAAACTCTTCAAATATACCCATTGATCTGGTTCTTCCTTGTAGTCCAGGGCCATGTGTCCGAAAAATCGTTCTCGTGGGCATTTTATGAACATTGAAGTTTCTTTACAGAATCTTACAGTTTAAATGGTGCTGAATCGCAAAAAACTAGAGTTGTCTGCAATTTTTTCAGAGCCATTTGGGCCTGTTTTATGAAAATGAGATATGACGTCATTATATAGCTGATGAATGATAGCAAAATTCCTTCAGTTTGATTCGCGACTTTTTGAATCAAATATAATGCATTTAAAACTGCAGTTTACATCACATTTTGACTGTTTCAAGGAATGAACGAATGGACCAAATATTTAAAGCAAGATACATGGGTTATATATTTCAGAAATATCTTTTCTCTACTCCAGTTATTTACTACAAATCTTTTAATGAATCCCCTTTGAATTTACGAGGCTAATTATCCAGCTTTTTAAAGTTCTCTTTCTGTTTTCTGCCGATTTTTAAACACCAGAAAATATATGGTATAATCCTGTCTGAGTCTCGCTAGAAAAGGCATGCGTTTTGATGGTCTTCCTGTGCTCTAAAACCCAACTCCTTATTTGGTTTCAGGTTATTCTTCCTCTCTTATTTGATTTTACCGTGCGAAGGCATATTTACCTGACGACCACTACTGTATATGCGATTTATCTGGAACAACGCAACCAGCCAGCCTTTTAAACATACTTTTTCTCATCACGTCTCAGGTAAACAACGCAAAAACAACGCAAAATTATGGAGTTTTATTTATTTATTATTATCAATTTGCCGCATTAAAACAATACATTTACTAATAAAATTAAATGGATGTATACTATGTTTAGGAAGGTCCCGCACTTAGACGACTTGGTTTTCTGAATCGGCGAGATGCACATGATAATGACGTCTTAACACACTCTTGGGGCATCAATCGAGCGCAGTTGATTTGAGGAAGAATGGATAGCGGCGGGGATATGGCTCAAATACAACGCGATAGATTCTTGAAGGGGAACGTATAAAGCATACTGAGACCTCACAGCATAACGTATAAAGTGAGCGAGGGACGAAACACAACTCAGAGACCTTTTATTCGCAATGGAAGCCGACGAGCTTCAAGAGAGGCCTTTGCGATTTGATAAGGTAATGGAGTCCCCGTGTCACTAATTCAAGTTTGCACAGGACTACATGAAGTTTGTGACGTGTATCCTGATGTTCATACGCGCATCAAGAGAGGGAGACTGGAGTCTCCACCTTGAGTACCTCAAGGCTCTGGCACGGTATTTCTTTGCTTATGGCGGGCTGAGTTTTGCACGAATGGTGCCACTATATATATATCTAGCGCAGATGCACAGGTTTAAGATCGATGTTCCCGGTGTTTACCTTGAATTCATGCAAGGAAACTTTTGTATAACCAAGAAGGAGAGCCCATTCTGTGCAATTGGTCCGGACCATGCTATAGAACACGTCAACAAGTTGATGAAGGTTCGGGGAGGACACAGCAACCAGCAGCCATGGCAAGATGGTTCCTTGTGGCACCAGAACTGATTCGACTTGCGGCGCATGTTGAGGAAATAGTGGGATTACAAAGAGCTTCATCATCACACCATCATGATTTAAGCGATGTGCTAACAAAGCGCTGTAACGAGAATGCACAAAAGCTTAAAGATGTGCTTAAAGTGAGTGACCCTTTCGCGACAGAATGTCATCTGGTGAACATCATCACAAAAGCAGTAATGCCAGATTACATCAAGGAGGGAGTGCTAATGCAAGATGACATCGGTCAGGCGTATTTTGGCACATTAGGTTTGTTCAAGAAAAAATCGTCGAGGCCCCATGAAAAGTCATGGAAGTTTGCTTGGCAAACAAAGAAAAACAAAACATCTAGTGGAATCGCACCATTAAAGGATGACAGAGCTCTCTTCACACTTTTCTTAGTTGTCATTCTCTCAAGGCCTGATCTTCACATGGAGGATACCATAAGCACTTTTTAGTTAGCTGAGTTTCCGAGTACACTCTTCTCCTCTGATGGCAGTTTGCTAAGCTGCGTTGCCAAGAGCAAGCTGATTAACATCCTACAAGGCCTTCTACCCCATCAGTAGCCACAAACGCCTTCAGTGCAACCTCACTCTCCAGACCCTTTCAGTACGCCTTTGTCAAATTTTTGATGCCATTGCAGCAGTTCAGTCAATGGGAACGCCATCGTGGATGAGAAACAAGCATGACCTAGCAAGCCATTTCATAGAAGTCGTTGATGCTAAGACCGTAATGTTGCCAGCGAGGTTCGTGCCGTATTTGACCGCTACTAGATCCCCTACTCCTTAAAGGAAGTAACGCGCCAATTTAACGACTGGTCACAAACAGAGCAGGGATAAACAAGATTACTGTCGATGTTGTTATTGACAAGACAACTATGAAAGATCTTTTGAACTGCAACCAGAATAAGAAGTCACTGGCTATAATCCTTGCAACACAAATCATCGAGCGCAGGAAAGACTCGCAGATGATGTATGTAGTAAGTTCTAAAGGTGACTGTATGACATCTAATACCGTACCAATTCAGCGCCTAAGGAGTGAGTAGGAAGAAGCAGATACTCGTATGCTCCTGCATGGTCTAGACGCCACAAAGAGAGGAGAAACGTTCATATTCATTCAGAGCCAAGATACAGGTGTACTCGTTCTGATGCTCTGGATACTACATTGACTGCAGAGAAAGAAGGAAAAGGAAGAAGTACTCCATTACGATCACTCTACGAGGGGGTCGGAGAAGACCTCGTGAAGGCTTTACCTGCCTTTCACACTTTTTCAGTATGTGATCAGACAGGCACCATCAGTGGAAAAAGCAAAGTGGTTTTTAGAGTAATCTAAAGAAAGCCAAACGACCGATGCTCGATGCCTTCTCTAGCCTGGGAAACAGCGACACCATCCCAGATGATATGTACATAAAGCTGCCAGTTGTACATCCCATAATTATTAGTATACTCTTACAAAAATCTTGGGAAAAAGCCTTTTAATATTCAACATTTGTAAACTTCCGTAATATTGATTAGTTTAATTTATCACCTTATATTATATTGTATCCGTCACCGTAATTTTTATGCCATCTTCGAAAAATTGTAATTGAGGAGGCCTAATTAACATAAGCTCTATAGTTTCTTTTAGGCCTCCTCGCCATCTCTTCCTACATTTTTTTTTTTGGCGTCTTTTTGTAATTATTGTAATCGTGTGGCAAATAAATAAAATACCTAAAATACCTAAATACACCTGAGAGAGCCGTAGAAGAGGTCAGATTCTTTCTTTACAGCAAGAAAAAATAAGTAGATTAACCGTTACACCCTGCTAAAGCAGCCGTACACAAGAAGACAATGAGCTAATCTCGTTGCATTGGTATGAAAGACTTGCGACAACCCAATACCAGCATTCCTACCCCAACGTTACACGGATGGCAACAAGATGGGGATGGAGCCTGTTCCAACCACACTCCCTACCTGTACCTTTGGCCGTTCTGCAGTTTATTCAGTGTGGATGAAATTCGCATGCAACACAATGAGCTCTATGTGCAGGAAGCACAACCTTTAACGCACAGATATGTCTGGTTCATGTGAAGTGAAACGTACGAAAAGGAACTTTAACACTGAAAAAGTTAAGCAAGTTAGAAGGGATATCAGTGACGCTGAGGACCTTCACATCTAGTCCCATCAGCTAAGAATTCTAAATTTTCGGAAAAGGCATTATAGAGGCTTTATATGGTAGAACAGACTTAAAAGCGCGCTTGCGCACAGTTTCTTTTGCATTATATGAGTTATTTCGGCTATGAATAACAAAGTCAGACTTGAGTACCCTGTGTTTTAAGGGTCATAAATGTAATTTGCATAAATTAATCTTACATAACTTCGAAAAAATTGCAGACAGCTTTTTTTACGATTTAACACCTCTTAAACTTTAGATTTCTTCCAAGAAACTAAAATGTTCATGAAATGCCCACGGGATTTCACATGTCCCCGAACTATAGCTTTTGCTCAGGACTAGTGTTTTTCTTCGCATAGGAACCATAATTTAAGTTCTGGACCTTGTCATGTAACATGTAGTAAAGAAGCATAGGTGCATCCCAGTGTGGAATGTCAGTGTAAAATTCGATACCTTCATCCTTTTCCTTAAATTTTGAAATGTCAAACTTCGGATTTTTCAGTCCATGCTGAAGTCTCTTTGAATGTCTAGCCAACTCGTCTTTTTCTTTTGGTAATTTGTCTTTTTCCTCGCCAGTCGATTTTAATTCAAATTCCAATCGATCGAGAAATTCTACGGTTATTTCAGTTTGCGTCTCAGCATCACAAAAGGAAGGAGTCGATGAAACACTGTTGCTTTGAGTGTCCACGTCAATCTGCTCAACTGACACTTCATTTACTGAGTCAGCCGCAACGTCCATTTCGGAACAAGAAATGTCAGTTTTTCTTTTCCTGGCTCTTGAATTCAAAGTTGGCTCTGACCTGTATAGAATATGTCGCTCACGTTTTTTTTTTAACTCCAAGGAAAGATAGATGGTAGATGACTTCTACTGCACTTTTCACCACCATTCCAATGGGCAGAGCAACTCCGTGTGCTATCGGAGTTCAAATTCAAATCATCGTTCCGAAGCAAACGTACATATTCTCGCCGGATACGTCTTGCCTTGGGTATTCGATAAAATGCCAGACCATGGAAGTTCTTAAAATTATTTGGGCACAATAGCACACAGCAAGTTGCACGTTCCGGCATTATTCCAGGTGGCTGCTCGGGGTTTTCTGTCCCCCCAAACGATCCCATAAACGGGCACGCTCTTAGTTTGATCCTAGGCTATCACTCATTTCCGAAGTGGGCTATTATATCATCATGTCTTTGCGTAGGTTTAACTGACTACAGGGTGTCCCAAAAGTTCGTTTCTCTGATTTCATGCACTATAACTTTTGATCAAAACTATATTTTTCCATGAAATTGCTAGAAGGTGTTCATTTTTCTATCAAGTGCATGTATTCAGAATTTCAGTAACTGACATGCCCCTCTCGTTTTTTTATCACATTCTGTAGCCGTTGAAGCATGAATTGGGATACAGCGTGTAGACCCACAAATGATCCATTTTGAGCTTTTTTATCACCTGGTGCGCAGGATCCAGTTCAACCCCCAAACAAAATTTGTTTAGTTTAGGCAGCTGAAAAAAATATATTTTGGGCATTCAACCAAAAAAGATAATCATCCCGGCCCCCTTCCACAGCAAGGCTTTTGTACTTCTTTACAAATTTGAAACGAGCTTGGCGTTAATTGGCAGACTAAGCAGAGGTTTTTTTGCCATCTCAGAGCCCTCTAATTTTAAATATTTTAAACAGCTTTTCACGTTCCTTTTATTTGGCTTGCTAACTATGTGAGACTGAGCTTCCTTGTCGAGTCTCCTATTTTGTATCTAGCCTTCGTTAAAACTATTTTAGCTGCTTTATTCAGGGCTTTTGGTCTTCCTCTTAGTTTCTTGCCTTCAAAACCTTCATTTCTCCATGATCATTCTACCACCCAACATTCGAATTTTTCCAGTTTTTTTAGCAATTTCTACGATAGATAAGCCAGTAAATCGAAGTATACAGGCTTATGCTCTCACGCAGCTGAAAGTTTTCGCGTTAAGGGGGGTTATCTTTCGTGATATTCACAAAAAACAAGGAAGGAGTTCGAGCAATTCGGGCTATGAAATACAAAAAATATGTGGCTGGAAAATATAATCGCGCACGCGCACCTTTGGCGTGCAAGTACACAAATCCAATATTCGAGTCAAAAGATGGCACAACAAGTATGAAAATAGTAAATTATATTGAAAGACACAACTTTTGTTGAAATGATTTCCTTACCAAGTCCAATCATACTGAAATACAGACTTAGGAAGTGGAAGAACGAACTTTTGGGACACCCCGTACACGAATTTAATAATATTCTAAAATGGCTTTTTAAGTAGAGAGATTCATGTCATTATGTATATTAGGATTGTATTAGGTTTTGTACCGAACTTTTTTTACTTCTAAGTATAGCTTCTCAAGTGGTGTAGGTTACGTTATACGTCCTATACTACCCATAATGTGGGCAGCATTCGAAACTTTTATACTTTATAATAATAATAATAATAATAATAATAATTTTATTTCACTTTAAAAAATATGTACATAATTTACAAAAATGTTTGCAGTGAGAATTTAGCACTATATAACATTAAGAATAACAAAAATAGCAATCACTGTGTACATAACGATTTCGCAAATGCATTCCTTGCGGCTCAGATGCGGTCAATAACTTTTGCAGGCAGTCCAGAGTTTTAAATTAAGTCATTACAAATCCGTCTCTGATATTAAAAAGAAAACAAGTTAAAAAGAATAAAAATCTCGTTTTATTAAATTCCTAATTCTTTAGAAAAGTTCCTTAAAAAAATAATCTCTAATGTTATCAATCTGTGGGTCTGAGTCAACAAAGTCTAGCTGACTTCTTCTGTATCTTGAGCCCCTCAAGCATAGTATCGCAAAGCGTACGATGGCGAAAGATACTTTAGCTCTTATCCAGGAATTTGCGCTTGAGTAACTTTCTCCCTTCTTATTCGCGATCAGCTCCGCAAGTCTCCTGTGGTACTTAACACACTCATCCGCCATTCCACCTGTGGTCGTGAAAACTA